CATGGCAGCACATATTCTTTGATCGTTGAATTTCATATTCGCCGGTTCTGGGTTTTAATTATATATGGACTAAGGAGAAGAAGAGCTATTTCGATTCTAGGTTTGAGGAATGCTTTATGACAATTATGGTGTGGTATATGACACATGTGAGGGTATATCATAGTTGTGGCATGAATTAGTAAGAAAAATGAGAATTAAGGAAAATCATACCTTCAACATCTCCTTCTCCATCGTTAGAGTTGAAAACTGACATTTCATGAGAATCTCCATGTTATGTTGCTCCATCGGAAGTTTTTGCAATGCACATCAGCAGTTGGCCGTCAATAGAGCCACCGGAGACATCATCAACTACTTTGCCCATTGACGATGATGAAAGAAATCAATTCACCATAAAATGAAAACTCTTTGTCAGTTCGATCCGAGTAGATAAGGCTTTGCTTCCATATCTCTCCTGCTACGAGTTACCTCCGTTGTGATATACACTACTCTTCAATCTCGTCGCAACATGAATATCGTCGTGGCTGCCTCTCCGATCTGCTCGTCGACCGCCACTAGGAACTCTCCCGTGCAACAAATCCCAACCTAACTAACAAGTTTTTGGTCTAGTAGTAATACCATTACCTTTCAACCTGGAGGTCGCAAGTTCGATTCCTTGAAATAGTATCTAAACTAGAAAAAGGTAAACATAGTCACCCTTATCCAAAAATATAAACAAATTGTTTACCACTAAAAAAATCACTCGATACCACATTGATTATTTTCGAGGATTGGTAGTGATTTATAAGGCCAACTTAACCATATTAATTAAATTGGTTTAAGCTGTGCCTAAATGATGGTATTTTGGGTTTCATACCATGTACCTCAACACACACCACTTGACCGACCAAACACCCACCTCTCATCCGAGCAGGGTTAAGTGTCAAGCGTTGACACCCTTCAACATCAACCACCCAAGTCGGCATGATGTGGGCAAAATTTGGCTAAGTATGAAGACCCACCACAAGGGGGGTCAAGCATGACATCATCCCAGGGGGATAAGCATGATGTCATGCAAGAGGGGTCCAGTACCATGGTCGCCTACCTACCGTGCACTCGGGGTATCAAGCATGATGACGTGCAAGAGGGGTCAAGCGCCAAGCGTACCTTCAACGTGGATCACCCAATTCGGCATGGCAGAGGAAAAATGTGGCTAAGTGTTGAGACTCAAGCACAAGGGGGTTCAAGCATGACACATTCCCAGGGGGGTCAACCATGATGTCATGCAAGTGGGGTTAAACACTATGTCGTCTACCTACCTTGTGCTAGGGTGTCAAGCATGATGTCGTACAAGGAGAGCTATCACGAGTACCCCTAGACTTGGTAGTGACATCTCACCACTCACCTACCCTACAATCACAGTGGGGATGAGATTAGACGAAGTATGGAGTTTTCTTTCGACCACCTACCATTTAATATAGTACAAGGGGGGTCAAGCATGACATCGTCCAAGGGGGGTCAAGCACCAAGTACCATGTGGGCCTACCTACCTTGCGCTAGGGTGTCAAGGATGATGTCGTGCAAGGAGACCTGCCCTGCAATCAAGCACCTAGATTCCACATACCAAGCACTAGATGTCAAGCATGACATCGTATAAAAGGTGTAGAAACAGTGGGGATGGAACTTGGCTAAGTATCAAGACATCGCCACTCACCCCTCAGGCAGGTTGCACACCCTCCTATTAAGCACTAGGGTGCCAAGCATGATGTCACCCTCGAGAAGGCCAGTGAGCATCCATCAAACCCCCAAGCATCCTAGTATCAAACATGATGTCATGTCAGGGTGGTTAGCATGAGTATCACCAAGCGTGAAGCCCTCACTCACCAAGTAAGACACCTCCTTAGCACAAGGTGCTAGCTATCAAGTGGAGTCATCAAGGTGCAAGGTATCCAGTGGCAAGCACGCAAGACAGTCAAGGCGTCAAGCAAGCTACATCAAACACCAAGCAGTGGAGCAGCGGTTACCAAGAGGCGGTTACATGATAGTTACAAGGGATGGCTATAAATAGGAGAAACTAAAACGAAGCAAGGGTTCCACAACCAACCATTTGACACACTATGCAAACTTTATCTTTTTCTCTACAAATTAGCCATAGCCTTAGTTTTTGGAGCTCTCACTAAACCTCCATAGGAGTAGGTGTAATTAACTTAGTTTGTTCACAAAAAAACCATCAAAAACATCAAACACTCTCGTTCGAACATTGTTCGGAGAGGAGTGAACCGTGTCATTAATCGTTGTTCAAGAAATCAAGGTGCATTTATTGAGTTCAAACACAAGTTTTTTCCTCGCCGAAAAACAAATTGGCACACCTGGTGGGACTCTGTGTGTTTGATTTGATGGCTCCACGACTGAGAGAACAGGAAGGTGATATTTCACCGGGAGTTGTGAAGGAGTTGGGGGCCAAGTTCAAATTTGGCCAAGCAACAGTAAGTGTTGTCGAAAACAATGGCATGATTGTGATCTTGCCACCGGCGGCCCTGTCACTCCGCTCAATAGTGTATAGGTGTCAATCGGGCGGGTTCGGGCGGGTTCGGGCTGGGTTCAATCGGGTTCGGGTTCAAACGGGTTGCGGGTTAGTCGGGTTGCGGGTTTATCGGGTTCGGGTTCGGGTTCAAACGGGTTGCGGGTTAGTCGAGTTGCGGGTTCATCGGGTTCGGGTTCAATCGGGTTGCGGGCAAATCGGGTTGCGGGTTCATCGGGTTTTGGGTCGGGCGGGTTGCGGGCGGGTCGGGTTTCGGGTTGTTCGGGCCAGCGCATCAAGTAACTTAACTCATTACTCATTACCAACTTACACATTTTATTACACTAATTTAAAATATTTTCTCAACTTTTTAACCAATTTATTTCTACCTCGTATATATATACTTTATTTTTTTGAAAAAAACTAGTCAAAATTTTAAATCAATTTGTATGACTTGCAAACTTGTTATGTAATTAATCATAATTGCTAAAGTATTATAGCTAATAGTAATAGGATATCAATATTTGCAACCAAAAGACACCGTTAATTGTTTATTTGATATTTTAGTAGTAATTCAATAGTAATTGAATTAAAGTATCTCGTTTAGTATAACCATGCAAATATGGTATTTGGCGTGTGGTAATTGGCAAAAGCATAGTGATAAAAGGAGCTATTTCAAAATAACTCATTGCCCAAATAACTTCAGTAAACTGTTGCCAAACGAGTTATTTGTAAAATTGTTCGAATTATCCTAAAAATTGAACCATTAAAGATTAGCTGTCAAATTTAGTAAAATTATTGTTACTTCAATCATAACTTAATCAATGTCATATATCCTATGCACTTAGCCTTACCCTCAATTAACAATATTAAGTTAGTATATGTTGTTGATTGTAATACCCTAAACCATCAATACATTATACACTAACCACATAACCTATACTCTAATCATATGTCCTTGAGTTGTGATTTTGCTAGTTAATTTAAAAGTGAAATTCATACTTTGATTTTCAAAACATAGATAAAAAGTGATATTTGCTAATTGTTATACCCTAACCATATATCCTATACTTTACACCACATACCTTGTACCCTAACCACGTACCATAAACATAAATTAAAAAGGCATCTCCTGCCGTTAAAGACTTCAAATGACTTCAAGTGAACATATGTTAATAAAAAACTTAGAACCGTCAAAACCATAAATATCTTATACCCTAACCATATACACCCTAAACCATATGTACCTTATACCTTATACCTTATACCCTAACCATATACTTTATATCCTAAACAACGAACCGTCAAAGATTACTTATCAAGTTTAGTATAAATTATTGTAACTAATGGTTAATTCATTTATTAGCCCATAAACAATTACATACATATATACATATTAGCCTTCAAAGCATATAAGAATAATTTTAACTAGTCATGCCGTCCATATTAAAGTTAAAGATTCATATTTCAAAAGCTAAAATTATGAAAAACCAAAAAATTAAAAACACCAAATTTGTTTCCTTCTTTCTTTTCACAAAATACTAAAATTTCCCTCCTTCTTTCTCCTTCCATACATTAGAAAAACTCAATTTTCCCTCCTCTTTCTCTTCCATAAAATTGAAAGAAACAAATTACCCTCTTCTTTCCTTCTACAAAAAGTTGAAAAGTCAAAAGTTTCCCTCCTTATTTCTCTTTCATAATAAAAAAAATCAAATTTTCCCACTTCTTTCTCTTCCCACATATCAAAACCACAAAAATTCCCACTTGTTTCTTTTCTAAAAAAATTCAAAGAACCAAATTTCCCTCTTCCTTCTCTTCCCAAAAACTTGAATACACCAAAATTTCCCTCTTTTTTTAAAAACATCAAATTACCAAATACATTACTTTACTTTATTTATATTTAATTGATAATTTAATTGAATAGTTAAATTAACCAAAATTTTAATTTATATATTATATTAATATGGTCATGATCTCAAGTGACCTTCATGTTTCAATTCTGGTAATTTTCTTAACATACGTAATATCAAGTGAGTTTCATATTTTTTAAATTTCTTATACGAAATGAAAAATTAATTTTACTTAAGTTTAGAATGAAAAACTTTATTTTGAAAAACTATGTATTGTATATTTTTATAATTATTCAAGTGGATTAGATGAAATTCGGGTTGAGTCGGTCGGGTTACGGGTAAGTCAGGTTCGGGTCAATCAGGTTCGGGTTAATCGGGTTGCGGTTTAGTCGGGTTGTGGGTCAATCGGGTTCGGGTTAATCGGGTTGCGGGTTAGTTGGGTTGCGGGTTAATCGGGTTGCGGGTCTGGCGGGTTACGGGTTGTTGACTTTTAGTCAATTCGGGTTGCGGGTCGGGTTGATCGGGCTGGTTAATCGGGTCGGGCTATGTTTTGACACCTATACAATAGTGGATGATACTGCAAGATGGTGGTTGATGAGCCCATAAGTCATTCATCTTCGAGTGTCGCAACCCAACACAACCCAACATCGCTACCGTAACTACATCCTTTCTTGGCGAGAATGGCCAGGGGTTCTTAACTCTGAAATTATCTCCCCATTATTCATTCCATTCTGAATATAAATACACCAACGTTTGCCAAAAGGAAAGCCTAACTTTGTGGAACTAATCCCACGTTCATCTAAGCATGAACTCCTAAACTAACTCCACTAAGTATGTAAACAACTCAAACAATCTAACAACTAATTATGTTGACTCACTCAACTAACACACTATTCAAATAAAGAGATCTACAGCCGCAAGCTTCTGTTGAAATAGGTTGGCTACTTGACTGGCTACTTCATGTAGTTGCGGTAGCCATGTTGGGTTGTGTTGGGCTGTGACACTCGAAGATGAATGACTTATGGGCTCATCATTACCATCCCCTGAAAAAACAGTCTTGTCCTCAAGGGTGAGCTCAATGAAGCGATCATCGAAGATAGAAGCCAACTTGCTGGTAGTATCGTTGATGAAATGAGGCCTTCCAAGACCCTATCACCCCGTTGTATATTGGGGTCTTAAAGTTCGGTTGGTCGGGATTTTCAACCGAGGAGACCAGCGATTGCTCTGCCGATAGGGGCAAGGAAGAGTCGATCTCCATGGACTCATAATTGTCGTTACCAGGCGGCAGTAAATTCGACATCGCGCTTCTGCTGTAGGACTTCCCACCTAAGCCTTGCCCTTTCCTCGCTGGGAGCTCAAGCTTCCCTTTCTTTAAAGTGAGAGCCATGTTGGCTCTACCCTTTTTCCTTCTCTTCCACCAGTAGAGAAATTCACAATCAACCCCATATAATCCTACTAGCGCTTCACATTTCTTTCTGAACTTCGAAGGCTTTATTTGGCCCAATATTATTCTTCCTCTAAATTGAATAACATACTTGGAAATTATGTTGATATCCATTGATAGGACATACCCTTCTATTTGTCGATGATCCGTAACCAACAAAGTTTGCAGCTTTCCCATATGTTGATCATGCTTTACGGTGAGGCGTAGGGAAGCAGGAGTTGCCTTTACAGTTGATTTGAGCGGTGACTTTGGTTCAACGACGAGCGATGGTGATTCCGTTGTGCGCATAGGTGAGGAGTTCAGCGACGCAGCGAGCTGCGTTGGAACTAAGGTGGAAGTGATGGGGAATGGATCCACCTTCACGGCAACAAAGGTCTCAAATTCTGACGGCAATGGTTTTGCAGCATCGACGGCGTCGTCTTCTGCCTCTACCTTTATCGAGTCTGCTAGAGCTTCAGCTAGCGACGGTGGCGGTGCGGTGGCTACGGGTGGGAGGACAATCTTCGCCTCTCCCATGGCGGCCAGGGTCTTGATTTGCGGCCTTGGTGGTGTTGTTGCTGGCCTGTGTTTGTCATACGTCCCAATGAGCATGTTGCAGGTTGCCATGACACGTTCTATCTACCCGAGTGCCCGATCGATGAGTTCTTTCCTTGATGGTCTCTCTGAGATCATCGTGATCGAAACACAAGATCAACAACTCTGATACCAAATGATACGGGATCGATTTGGATAACTCCCTTTTCATGGCGGGAGTAGGCCAGGTTTCTCCTTTCTTGGCGAGAATGGCTAGGGTTCTTAACTCTCAAATTGTCTCCCCATTATTTATTCCATTCTAAATATAAATACACCAACATTTGCCAAAAGGAAAGCCTAACTTTGTGGAACTAATCCCACGTTCATCTAACCATGAACTCCTAAACTAACTCCACTAATTATGTAAACAACTCAAACAATCTAACAACTAATTATGTTGACTCAAATAAAGAGATCTACAGCCGCAAGCTTCTGCTGAAATGGGCTGGCTACTCGACTGGCTACTTCATGTAGTTGCGGTAGCGATGTTGGGTTGTGTTGGGCTGCGACACTCGAAGATGAATGACTTATGGGCTCATCAGTGGTGGAGAACCGTCAAGTGATGGTGGAGATCTGTCGATTGATGGAAGAGATTTTGAATGGACTTGTTAGAAGTTCACAACAGACAATTCTAAAACTTGCTTCTTTTAGTTCTATGTTTGATAGACGTTTGGATGAATTGCTTGAAGCAACTATAGAAAATACAAATTGCTTAGATGAGCTTAAAAAAGATTTTATAGAACCAGTGGTGCGAGAAATTTCTTTACCAAAAAATGGTATAGATTCGCCACCAAGTATTGCTACTGAGTATATAAGTATCTTGTTCTTCGGTGGCCGGACTACCCAGCCACGCTCAGGGAACTTACTGCCTCCGGCGACAAGTCAACTACCTCATCAACATAGTCGTTATAATAAAAATCTCTCACCCACGTTCACTACTCATGGGGAACAACCGCTTGTGCAAACAGTTACTCTAGGAACCACCCCTGAGGCTAGATCTGGCCTCAGTGTGATGAGTGGGGAAGGAGTAGTTTCTGTAGATGTAATACAAAAATCTTTCTCAACTTTGGTGTCATCCATCCCCAACGGGTCAGCCCAACCATTAGGGGGGCATGGAAGCCTATCCCCTAACAGATTGAAGGTGAAGTGTCAGGCTGGGGGGGCACGTTGATGTAAAGAAAATTGAACAAAAGGGTGTGTCCAACAGAACACCATATTTGTTGTCTAAGGATCGCATGGGGGGCATGTTATCAACAACAAGCAGTGGGTTGAAATTTGTGCCCTAGAAGCCACAATTGGCCCAAGTCACATGTGTTTCTAGTAAGAATGCTATTGTAGCTAAGTGTGGCGAGGGGGACATGTCTCCATCTCCATGCAGTGGACAGGGGGGCATGTCATCAAACATGATGAATGGAGTGAGTGGAAAGTCTGAGTGGGTGTTAGATACCCATGCCACCCATGATTTTCATAACTTTGACAGCGTTTCAAAGAGTGGACAAGGAGGCAAGGCCCCTTGTAGCATGCCACCCATGAATGGTCGACAAGGGGGCATGTCACCAACCACAAACAATAGGCAGATAGACGTGCCCAATAAACCACAACATGAAGCCACACATGATTTTATTAAGCATACTAATATGGCTAAGTCTGGCAAGGGGGGCACGTCAACAATCATGAATAATGGTATGAGGGGCATGTCTCCAACCAGTGGACCAGGGGGCATGTCACTGACGATGAAAGAAACAAGTGGGAGTAAATTATATGAGTATGCAGCACACCCAAGCTACTCAAAAAGTTTCTAAGTATGAGAGTGTGTTAAGGAATGGAAAAAGAAGAAAGTCCATGCTTAACAACCCTCATGGTAGGCCAAACATGAATGGCAGACAAGGGAGCATGAATAAGACATCTCGACACACACCAATTAGACATGGTCCCACAGAGGGTCAAAAGTGGTTATGTGCTAATTGTAGGGGGTCATCAAGACATAAGGGTTGGCCACAATGGTGACCATCAACTCTTTAAGTACAGACACTCGTCTTCCCAACCATATGGGGAGAGTAAGAATGTGTCAAGTCATGAGAAACTAAGGCCAAAGACAACACATGGTCTTGTTGATGACTCAAAGGAGTTGAAAATTTCTAGTGCACCACCCGGAAGGAGGCAAGCACATCGGGTGCAACATCAACCCAACATGTCTAGTAAGGTTCCTCAAGCTTACAAGCATGAGACCCCTTGCAAGCCACCAAGACAAGACAAGTTGATCGGGTACCATCCGTTGTTAGGTTAACCAATTCAAAACCAACACCCGGAGTCATCTCCCCTTAAGGAGGGAAGGCAAGTAGCATATGGATGGTTGGCTTGGTTTAATCCATGGACTTGGCAGTGGGAGTACACCTTTGGTACATTAGTGGTTGCCAAAGGGCATAGAAATCAATGACGTCTGTCACTCCTTACTATAAAATTAAATAAATAAAAATACTACTAAAAAGGACGGAAAAAAAGTCATTGGCCAATCATGGCTACAAAATGGTAAAGTGTTGTAACACTTGCGGTGTGATGACCTTGCCATGAGTGGTAAGCAACAAGTTATGTGACAAGGTGTATGGATCCCTTTACAATCTCTTGATTAAGTGTTTGGCCTGGACTCTTTATCATCCAAGCCACCCGTCCAAGGAGCCGTACTTGTTGAAAGATGATGTGGTGCTACATGATCGATTGATCAATGTCAAGCTTAGCTTCTCAACCCCTATGTCTCTTGCCTTTGGAGACATGGGTTGTCAATGAATTCAAAGTTAACCAACCACAATGATGGTCGGCCCAGGTACTATTGAGGAAATCCTCTGGTTCCTAGTGAGAGTCATTTTTGTAATGGATGCTTCTTAGTTGGACAACCCAAGTAGAACGATTCTTCCAATCTGGTTTGAGCTCGAGTGCCACCGACATTGTTTCCCATTTTCGATTCCATGATGAAGACAAAGAAGAGATGGGTTCGCCGCTGTGGTCTCCTTACTCTTTCTCCACTTCTTCCTTCTCACCTCATTGGTATTTCAGTGTTTCATAGGGTTTTGGGAACAACATAGAGGATGAAAAAGATAGAGATCAGTTCTTAGCTTTTGGATTCCAAATTTGCTTGTGGTCAAGCTTGGTGGGTTATGGGTTTCAGAATATCCCCATACCAGCACAGATTCTTTGATCGTTGAGATTTCATATTCGCTGGTTATGGGTTTTAATTATATATGGACTAAGGAGAAGAAGAGCTATCTCGATTCTAGGTTTGAGGAATGCTTTATGACAGCTGTGGTGTGGTATATGACACATGTGAGGGTATATCATATTTGTGGCATGAATTAGTAAGAAAAATGAGAAATAAGGAAAATCGTACCTTCAAAGTCTCCTTCTCCATCGTTAGAGTTGAAAACTGACATTTCATGAGAATCTCCATGTTCTGTTGCTCCATCGGAAGTTATTGCAATGCACATCAGCAGTTGGCCGTCAATAGAGCCACCAGAGACATCATCAACTACTTTGCTCATTGACGATGATGAAAGAAATCAATTCACCATAAAATGAAAACTCTTTGTCAGTTCGATCCGAGTAGATAAGGCTTTGCTTCCATATCTCTCCTGCTACGAGTTACCTCCGTTGTGATATACACTACTCGTCAGTCACCGGTTCAATCTCGTCGCAACATGAATATCGTCGTGGCCGCCTCTGCGATCTGCTCGTCGTCCGCCACAAGGAACTCTCCCGTGCAACAAATCCCAACCTAACGGACAAATTTTGGTCTAGTAGTAATACCACTACCTTTCAACCTGGAGGTCGCAAGTTCGATTCCTTGAAATAGTATCTAAACTAAAAAAAGGTAAACATAGTCACCCTTGTCCAAAAAATAAACAAATCCTAACCTAATGCTTAATAGAGTTCCAACGGCTCAACAAGAAGGCCGAGGAAGGTTGAATTTATAATAAAAAACTGTTCTCTAAACAAAGTCAATTTTAAGGCGTAAATAATAATTATATAAATAGTTAAGTGTATATATAAAATCAAGTTAATTTTTTATTACATTTTGATACCTAATTTCTTATGTTATACAAATAGGTCTCATTTTGTGTAGTTAGAAAACGACTTCAAGAAAATGACTATTCATACCCAACCCATGCCTATTTAGAATATGAAAGTGATATCCAGACCCTACTCAAATCTAATTACAGAACTCCAAACCAAATATATACTTCACTCATACCATACCATACCATATCCATATTCAATGAATTTATTTGGGTTTGGGTAAAATTAATTACGGTAACAAGTTGATCGGCACATGGGCATTGGCTGGTGTGTACTCCTCCTAATAATAATATAATAATAATATTATTATTATTATTATTATTATTATTATATATAAGAAAATGTGTTGTTTCTACTATAAATAGGACTTATCAGAGGGCGACGGGTTCCATACCACACAGTTAATTCATCACGAGCAAATTAAAAAAAATAGGTCCAGCTTGGTCGAGGAAGAGAGAAGAAGAAGACGACAAAAAAAGAGCCATCGAATTGATCATGTCGCGCTTCGTGCTGGACTCCAACAACCTGTGGCTGGTGGGCAACTCCGACGGCACGATCTCCGTCCTCGACGGACCGGATGTCGCTGACGTCAACCCCAAAGACGTGACCGGCGACGTGAGCCAATGGCAGCAAACGGCTCGAATCGGAACCAACACTGCCTCCACTCACCAAGAACTGGAGGTCTTCGGCGTCGTGTTCAGTGGCCAGAAGCTGGAAGAGCTGAGGAAGAACACCTACGACGACCAAGTCACCGTCACCAGAGAAGGTTTCATGATCCAGTGGCTCAACCCTAGCGGCGGAGATAAGGGCCCCAAGGAAGGAAATCCCTACCGCCGCCTCAACGATCTCTTTGACTGGTCTAAGCATGGTGTTGAGGTCCCCACTCCGGTTGCGACGGAGTGGGACCGGTACCAGCTTGGTACCGGGGAGCTAATGGCGGAGGGCTCAGGTTTGGTAAACCTGGCGAAAGTCATAGAGGAGCTGGAGATGGAGAACCAGACGCTGCGGGATGAGAAGGACTTGGAGATCAGCGAGTTGAACAAGAAGCTGGCCGAGGGGAAAGGTGGCGGCGGCGGTGATGATAATAAGTCTGCTGCGGACAAAGATAAGGAGATCGCCGTGAAAGATGAGCAGATCCGTGTTCTCAAGGAGGCGCTCAAACTCTTCCTCTAATTAATTAAGCTACTACTGTTCTGTACTTCCTTTCGTCCGGCGGCCGGCTCCTCCTATTCCCTCATCTGTTATATGTTCCGTGCGTATTTGTTATTATTGTATGTGTATTCTGGCCGGCCGGCGGGTGGGCCGCTCGTTGGTTACTTTGTTGTGTACCCCATGCAATTTCATATGTGTGTTGTTTAATTAATTGGCACATACTGAGTTGCCAATTAATGAATAAAAATTGAACTGTGTGTTTTCTTTTAGTATATCTGGGCCACCAAATTTATTAATTCCATACATGCATCCATGTACTTTTTTCGATAATTTGGTGATCTTTTTAAGCTCACCTAGTCGACAGACCAAAACACAACTCCAGATTCGCGCGGTGCACATAACTAGAATCCTACCCTCTGAAATTACTCAGCAGCTAAGCTATAAACTTAAACAAGGAAATACTACAAGCAAACTCTACATTTGTTATGCTGTACGTACGTACATTCTAACTTTTTCACGAATTACCGCTCCATCCAGCACCAAAGAGAACTGCAAACGAGTGCCTTACTGTCTCTCGGTCGGGCCAGCTCGCAAGCTGTGTAAGGAAGTGATTAAGCACCACACACGGACCTGTATAAGATCCAGCATAATCTTCTCTCAACAACTCGAGTTATTGGGACCAACTGAATCTTGACATGGTATCAGAGCTAGTTTGGCCAAGTGGTCGTGTGTTCGAATCTCCACGACCCCCAATATTAACAATTGATTAAAGTTCCGTGAGGTCACGTGTTCAAGTACTCACGACCCCCAATATTAGCCGTTGTCCTTCAAGCACATGGTATGGCGGACCTGTGCAAACTTCAAGCCCATGAGTCGGCTTTCGTTTGAGGGGGCGTGTAAGGAAGTGGTTAAGCACCACACACGGACCTGTATAAGATCCAGCGTAACCTTCTCCCAACAACTCGAGTTATTGGGACCAACTGGTTCTTGACAAACTGCAACTCATCTACTTTTTTATATGTTTATTATTATGCATGGGAAAAATAGTGTATTGTCACACCGCAAATCCGCAAAAGATTACGAAGACGCTAATGGAAGGTGTTACGTACGTTAAAGAGATAATAACAATATACTTATTTTAGGGTTGTTTGATAAAAATATTTCATTATGCATGTATCTAATTGGTACGAAATGTATTAGTTCCATGCATCGATTCATGATTGGGGTGATAGTTAGCTCTGTTGGGATTTTGAATGGTGCGAATAAAAATGAAAAGATGAGTCAAGAAAAACTTTTAAAGTACTACGTTGATGAGATGTGGGAAGGTATGTCCTCGAATTCGATAGATTTGTACCCGAACCAATTGATGTAGCAGTTGGAGTAACACAACCGATTTAACTATCATGGGCCGAACCGACGCAATGATTGAGAAATTTTAGACAAACCAATGCACGGGTTGGGGTATACAATAAAAATCTAAAATAAAAGACCAATTATACTCAAATTTCCCAATTTTTCATCCAAACCCTAAAACCTAAACTTTAATTGGATACCCTTGTGAATTACAAAAGAAAATAAATACGAATTCGACTTTCTCTTCTCTCCCTTTTCGTCAATCTTGGACCAAAACGCTCCCTCCATAATCCACTCTCCCTGCCGAACGCGCCGATTGTCGTGCTCCGACGACGAACAATCCTCCTCCGCCGCAAATCGCAACTCCGCAATATTCTCATCTCCATTCACTGGCCCCAGGAAAAATCATATTGTTAGAGTTAGCAACAGGTCAGTAGTAAATGAAAACGCGTCGAATGAGATTTATGTTGGGTATATTGAAAGAGATTGTTCACGAATGATTCTCTAATATAATATATTGAAAGATATTTATTGAGAATTGAATTCAAAATTCATCAACTCTAACTCTGTAAACAAATGATAAGGGTAGTAACTAAAGTAATAGCTTTGTGGTTAGGGAAATATATATATAGGACTTCAAAGCATTATCACGAGTCGGTGTGGGTATTTTCATATTGTAAACATCCAAACCTGTACCCAACTACAAGGTTTTGATTTTTCAAAAATTGAAAATCACACCCACTAATAAAATTGAATTTTCTCAAATATTACGGATGCTTTGATTTGGGTTGGACAGTTGGATTGATTTTTCTGAAATATATTAAAATATATCGTTATTGCACCACCGATGATCAGGATAAGAAAAGTGTAAACAACTCAACATTACCAATTAAGTTATGCAAGGGATGATATCGACAGTGATCATTCGAAACAACGAAAAGGTTAATAATTGCAGTCTGCGGAACAGGTTAATAATTAATCACGTTCTTCTGTATTCATTGATATCATTAACCACGTGAATTATGAAAAATAATAATATTAACTATTGATATTGTATTCACTGATATAAAATATGGTGGGACGCGGGAGTGTATTTAGCCATTTTGGGAACCTTTCCCCCCTTCATATACATAATCAAATAAATAGGACCTACGATAAATTTTGTACAATTAATTGTGTATATTTTTCTGAAAAAGTTCGCCTAGGCGCTCGCTTAAACTCATTAGGCACGAGGTAGAAGGAAAACATCTAATTTTGGGAATATATAAGTAACAAATAAGGCATTCCGAGTTTTGGTAGTCGCTAGGTTATAATTAGAGATGATCCTTTTTAGGCAGTTTCTTCTTCTTCTTTCCCTTTTTTGTGCTTCTTCTCTCTCAATCAGCCATTAAGCTACTTCTTCTTCCTTCCTCGTTTCTCAACAATATGTCTTATACAAATTTTCCATGTGTTGTTGAGGAGGGTTTATAAATAAGAGGTCGATGATATAATTTAATTTGGTTTATAAACTGGTGATTCTAAACGATAGTAAGATATTTTGTTACTAGGCAGAACTCCAATATCTTTCTTATATCTAATGATTTCTTGAATCTTTATTATGCATGCAATTACACTATAAGAAAATTAGATTTTGGAGATAAAGGTTATTTGCGCCTAAATCTTACTTATTTGATTTTGTATGTCTTTGGATGTAAATATGTTATTTGAATCATTTGCCTCTGTCCCGAATTTTTTTTGGAGACACATATAGATGCAAATAGTATTTACCTCAAATAATAAAATTAGAAGCAAAAAATTTTTTTTTAGTCGCATATATTTGCTTCTAAAGAACTTTAAAGAGACATATATATTTGTCTCCCATAAACATGTTTAGAGGCAAATAGTTTTATCTTCATTTCTAGTTTTAGATGCAAATAATCTCCTATCATAATTGTCTCCAAATACTTGAGAACACATCATTCATATTGGTCATAATTCACAAGCATAAGATTATTTTAATTATTTTTTTATTTAATTATATTAATCAAATGCATAATTACATTATTGGTAAAAACACATAAAAATAAATAACTTCTTTCTCTGTAAGCTTTAATCTTCACAAGTAACCATCTCACAGTGGAACATATTTCTCTGTAAGGCTTCCTAGCAACATACATGTCCACACACAAAAAAAAAAAGTTAAATTGACGGTTTTTTTTCTGCTGAAAGGGAGAGAAATGAGATGAGTGACAACTCAGTACAGTTGTGCGATCAGGGTCTTGAACGAGAGCGAGATCAGCGACTGGCGGCACACATGGAATACATAGACCAGGCTGGATCGGACTTGTGCAATCTAGATCTGGGCAAAATGAAGACTTGGAGAAGAGAAAATCTTCTAGTCAAATCAAAAGATGTTTAAACGACAGCAGCTTTCTCTTTTTATCCTTTTGCTACGATTACTTTCCTACCAATTTTGCGAGCAGCAGAGACAGAGAGTGTGGCGCCCTTCAGGTTAGAGAAGAACCCTGCAACTGCAAGGGATCGTCTCCCTCTAACTAATCTGATTTGCTCCAAAAGTGGTTGCTACCTTGATCGATTTCCTTGAGTTAGCATCAACCAGAATTAATGAAATTGAAGATAGGAGGACCCATAAGAGAACTCATCAGGGAAGGAGGCACCTTGACTGGAGGCAAGTCCGAGGCCCACTCGTCGCGGGAGAGATTTGCTATGCCATTTTCAACCTACAAGCTACAGCTAGCAATGGTTTGAACACTTGCTACATACCTTTGTAAATTTACGTGAAATTGTTGAGGATATGCTACTTGGAAGGGTTAAAACCCTTCCACGGTTCGTGACAAAAGCTGAAAAACATTTGTGTCGAAATTAAAATGGTTGCTAAAATTCTTCACTCAACATGATTAGTGATAGGGAACGGCTACGGTGCTAATTGTACAATAGTTAGCACCTTTCTAACCAAGGAAAAAACTACTACTAGTTTGAATTAGTAGTGATTTAGCTTAGATGTTGTATTGATTTTATAATAATCCGTAGTGATTTCGTTATTTTTAGTAGCGTTTTTTGCTAGTTATCACGATGCTAACCCCTCCCTGATAATAGCTTGGTTGCAAATATCCTGATCATTAAAGATAAATTCATAACCAAGTTTGTTACTAACATTCATAACATACCATATACCTTTCATATCCTGAATTATAACAAGAGCACTAGTGGCACACTGTTCATAAAATAAATAAATAAACCACAAGGAAACAAATCAAATTATCAAGTGCAACAACAACAATTATCAAGTGGCAGCAACATGAAACCAAAAAATAGCCATGAAATCAAAACTCCCCACCCACACCCACACCCACGGCACGAGAGCTGCTTACCTCCCATACACGAGAGCTGTCTGCTTCACATTCATATACGAGACCTGCTTGCTTCTACGGGTGGGTGTGAGAAGTTGATGGGAAGCTTACGCCGGTGAGCAGGAGAGGCGGAGCTGCCGGCCGCGGGAGGAAGATCAAGAGTTTCGACAACGCCAGTCACACTACTAATGCGATGGAAAGGTTACGCCCGTATCTGTAAAACGACTTCTCAACAACCAAAAACGACACAGCAACAACGCTCCTCCCAAAACGTCGCAGCTGCCACTAAGAGATAACCGCTACAACTAAACGAGGTCACTCGATGAAGCTTATCTCTTGAAGTGGGTTGGATCAGTTTTGGATTGAATCAACCTTATCCTTCATCGTCTTCCTCAGCACCCAAAAGCAAAAGAAGAAAACTGCTTTCTCCAAGCACCAGAATGCCTACCCATCTTGTGCTTCTCAAAAGCATGGCTACACCAACGGTCCTGAAGATCTCTGCCTATTTAAAGGCCATCTCAGTATGAAGAAAGCTAACGGTTGCAGCTTGAA